CTTATGCCTAGGGTTTAGGGTTTAGCGAGCAGGCCCCTCTTAGACCAGGCAAGGGGTAAGTGTCAGGGGATAGGTAAGGAGCGGGTATTCCCTCACGTCTGGGACAGGCACAGAGAAGAAGACCGGGTGTAAGGGGGGACGCCAGTTCCAACCTTATGCCTAGGTTTTAGGGTGTAGCGAGCAGGCCCCTCTGAGACCAGGCAAGGGGTAGGGGTGAGGGGATAGGTAAGGAGCGGGTGTTCCCTCAGATCTGGGACCTGCACCGGGAAGAAGACCGGGTCCAAGGGGGGATGCCACTTCCAACCTTATGCCTAGGGTTTAGGGTTTAGCAAGCAGGCCCCTTTGAGACCAGGCAAGGGGTAGGGGTGAGAGGATAGGTAATGACTGGTTGTTCCCTCAGATCTGGGACATGCACCGGGAAGAAGACCGGGTCTAAGAGGGGACGCCACTTCCAATCTTATGCCTAGGGTTTAGGGCTTAGCGAGCAGGCCCCTTTGAGACCAGGCAAGGGGTAGGGGTGAGGGGATAGGTAAGGAGCAGGTATTCCCTCAGGTCTGGGACATGCACAGGGAAGAAGACCGGGTCTAAGGGGGGACGCCACTTCCAACCTTATGCCTAGGGTTTAGGGTTTAGCGAGCAGGCCCCTTTGAGACCAGGCAAGGCGTAGGGGTCAAGGGATAGGTAAGCAGCGGGTATTCCCTTAGGTCTAGGACAGGCACCGGGAAGAAGACCGGGTGTAAGGGGGGAAGCCAGTTCCAACCTTAGCGAGCAGGCCCCTCTGAGAACAAACAAGGGGTAAGTGTCAGGGGATAGGTAAGGAGTGGGTGTTCCCTCAGGTCTGGGACATGCACCGGGAAGAAGACCGGGTCTAAGGGGGGACGCCACTTCCAACCTTATGCCTAGGGTTTAGGGTTTAACGATCAGGCCCCTCTGAGACCAAGCAAGGGGTAGGGGTCAGGGGATAGCTAAGGAGCGGGTATTCATTCGCTCAGGTCTGGGACAGGCACTGGGAAGAAGACCGGGTCTAAGGGGGGACTCCAGTTCCAGCCTTATGCCTAGGGTAAGGGTTTAGCTAGCGAGCAGGCAAGGGGTACGTATTAGAGGATAGGTAAGGAGCGGGTATTCCCTCAGGTCTGGGACAGACACTGGGAAGAAGACCGGGTGTAAGGGGGGAAGCCAGTTCTGACCGTATGCCTAGGGTTTAGGGTTTAGCGCGCAGGCCCCTCTGAGACCAGGCAAGGGTTAGGGGTCAGGGGATAGGTAAGGAGCGGGTATCTCCTCGGTTATCTCAGCTGGGTGTTTAGGGGAGCTTCAACTATAGTTTGCAGTTCTTTTGCAGGCTCACTCAAAAGTCCATATTGCTTTCTTGGCAGTCAGGCTAGTTTCTTCAGATCAGCTCAGGCAGCTAAATAGCTGAGAGGCCGAGCTGCAGAAGCAATACGAGCGAAGCTGGGTAATGCTCCCAGTAATTTGCTACAGTAACTTGTTACAAAGATTGAAGTACCAGGGACAGTGGACCCGGTTTCCAGCAGGTGCTGCTCGTCACCAACGCATCGGAGCCATCCATCAGAACAACTCCTCGATCCCTGTGGTGCTCTTATCACCCCGGGACCATAGGATGACACGGGACGTTTTACTGTGAAAAAAAAGCAGTGTGAGAAAAATGACTATCAACAAAAAACAAAAACGTGTGTGGCCGGCCTTCGCGACATCCGTTAAAATCGGAACGATACAGAGAAGATTAGCATGACCGCTGCGCAAGGATGACACACATGAATCGAGAAATGGTCCAAATTATTAAAAAAAAAAAAAAAAAAAAAGAAACAATGTGTGGCCCCCAAAAATTTAAAAAAAAAAAAAAAAAAAAAGGAACCATGTGTGGCCCCGCACAGTTTGTACAGTCCACTAAGCTTCAGAAGGTCTCCATTGAAGAGAAGCAGCCATTCCATCCCACCGCCTCAAAAGCAGCTATCCATGGGCATTGCCTGCTAACTCAAGCACATGCAATCATGCCACTGACTATGCTACTTACAAGTTACAGCGGCGTGACTCTAAAGTGCAGGTCCATGGACTGGGGAAGGGGGCACGCACTGCAGGTTCTGCTCTGCCAGATCTGTAACATAGTGCCCGTAAAAAACGGCAGCGACGACAACGTGGGCTTTTGCAACAAACTTGCTCGTCGATCCTCCCCAGCTCAAGAAACTTGAGTGAATCCTCACCACCCCAGAGTTTGAAGAGCAAGAAGTAATCTTCCACACTGGATGGGCAAGAGGCCTTTTGGGGATTAGGCCCCTTAGGGTTGATCGAGGCAAAAGACTGCGTGCTGGATCCAGTTTCAGCCCTCTGGAGTAGGTTTACACTATAGAGTCAGTATAGACTGAGCCAACAGAAACCCAGAAAACATGCCACCCTCATTCAGCCCTCCAGAGACTTAAAGCAGATCTTCCACTGGCCCTTCCCTTCACCTACACAACACACCCCTGCTCCACTTCTCACAATTGCTATCAGCAGTGCCTCATAAAAAAACTCAGACACTATTGTCGTTGCTTGAAGGCTTGTCATTTCCTGAGCTTCCCGAAGCATGGAACTCTCCAAAATCCTCCTCATCTGGCCTGACGTCAGAGATGACAGGTTCCGATGGAAAATCTGGAAAGCACACATCTGAATTGGACTCATCTTTTTGCATGAGTGCAAAGTTGGCAAACCCTGCAGGAGGAGGCGGTGGAGGGACGATTGCACGGATCACAGTCGCAGGAAGTGCTGCCGATGCTGTACTTACCCGAGGACTGGCATCTTCTGTGGAAGATCGGTCAGCTGTTTCCCCAGGTTGAGCGGGCGGAGGAAGCGATGGACTAGGAGCACCAGCACCAGCACTAGAGCTCGAGAAATCACACCCTGTCTCATGCGAATTGCCCACCTGGGGGTCGGCAAAAAGTGTACCCCCGCTGGTCGCCGACAATCTCTTCCCGGACGAACGGTCAGCCAATAAGGGGGAGTTTTGCTTGGGATAAGAACGAGCAGATGTAGATGTCCGAATTTGAAGTCGAAGTGTCTGCCCTTCTTTCAGACTGTAATCTGTTGACGTCTTGCCTCTGTATTCCTTGGCTGCCTCTTCTGCTTCCCTCTTTCTATGAACATACTTGAGATGATCTTGAAGGGCAGCATTGAAGTCGTAAGCTTGGGTCCGTTCCCGGAATCCCACTCCCACGAAAGCATGCCGAACATGAGGACCAGAGGAGTCTTCTACCCTTAGAACAAAGAAGCGACTGCTATCAACGACTGCTTCCAGAGGAAGGGGCTCATTCACCCGTATGGGCGACTGTGCGAACAACTCTCCGGAGTTAGGGTCTTCCAACCTTATGGAACATGAGGTACCCTTGGAAACAACACGCAGAGCCCCCTGCCACGTCCAGTTATTGATGTCCCATTCATCAGCACGGTAGGATAGGTTGGACTTTCGCGGTGGGATCTTGTAGACATAACACTCTTTCACTTGAAACAACACCAGGTCAGCCATCTCTTCTTCATCTTCTTCATCCTCAACCACTCTGTCCGCTTCCTCCTTGTTTACTTTATCACTACCCTCTGCTTGCACATCATTCCCAAGTACTCCTCCATCCTCTCCACGATCCTCACTGACAGGTGCACCCACCACAAGATGATCAGAAGGTTGACCCATTGATCCTTGCCCGTTTTCCAGACTTCCCTGAACAGTCTCACGAGTGCCTTCACTCCATCCACCCTCACCTCCACCATCAGTCAAAGACTCCATCTCTTGACTTTCCCGCCTCATGAGAAGTAAATGGTATGCCCACCCCCAAACGTGCTTTTTCCAGCTACGACTGACAAGCAGCCATTGTACCCCACTCTCCACTCCTCCCTTCCCCCCCCCCCCCCCCCCCCCCCCCCCCCCCCCCCCCCCCCCCCCCCCCCCCCTCTTCTCCCCCCTTTTTTCGGTTTTTTTTTTTTTTTTTTTTTTTTTTTTTGGCTATTGGTTTATTTGGTGTCCACTCTATGGACTGGTGACAAGTCTCGCTCTTACGGTGAGGGACGTTTGTTATAATGACCCTGAAGAAACCTTGAAATTTTAGGGCNCTCTCTCTCTCTCTCTCTCTCTCTCTCTCTCTCTCTCTCTCTCTCTCTCTCTCTCTCTCTCTCTCTCTCTCTCTCTCTCCTCTTCCCCCAAGATAGTCTGTGTTCAATCCAAGACTGAACACGTACTGTCCGCACCGCAATTTTCATCCATCATTCATGCGTGCCGAAGCAGCACCAAGAGCGCGGCGACGCTATTATATACAGCGAGTCATCGCTCGCAATGTTATACAAGGAACCCAATGCGGTCAGGAGACGCTCTAGAGTTACCCTAGAACACATCAAACTCTAAATAGTGCCAAGCATGTGTATCCTCATCACAGAGATATCTCTGTGCACACAGAGAGAGAGAGAGAGAGCAGGAGAGTGTGTCGGAGAGAGATCACAGAAGACCTCCGAGAGAGATCCCCCTCGCCCTGACCTTATAGCCAGGCATAGCAAGTTCCATTACCACTCGTGCTAAACAATGACAAGCTGACAGCTTCTACCTTAAATCTGCAGAGTTTAACACAACCTGTGCTCAGAGTCAGGAATACAGAAAGCCCAAGACAATGTAGGCAAAGGTATCAGCATTCCAAAACTACATAAACCCTCAGGCTTATCACAAGACTTACCTGTTTTGCAATACAGAGAAGACGATAATGGTATAGATCATGGACGTGACCATTCTTTTGTACCGCTTTCCGCCCCCCATCCCAAGCTCGTTAAAGTTTGAAGCAATAAATGCGGGAAAACAAGATCTTTTTTTTTTTTTTTTTTTTTTTACTCAAATCCATTATACAGGTCAAATTGACAAGATCTTTTCAGTAGAGGCAGCACATTCTCAATTTAAAAAAATTGAAAAAAATGAAAAAAAAAAAAAAAAGATTAACGTCCTACCCTCCTCTCAGGCTCAATACCCTGTCTATCCATATCCAGCGACTACTGAAGTACGCAATTTTGCCTCCCTGCCTGTGTCATAGGGGCATAAAGGCTAAAGATGGGCGGGCTAGTATTCCTTTAGAAGAAGCATTTATGACAGTGCATTACTTCAGCTGTCGGATCAGAGTACCATGTAGAATTGGGTGGACATGAAAGGGAAAATAAACAAATAAACTTATCACGGTGCAGCCAGACTGATAGCGCGAGGAGCCCGGGGGGGAGAGGGGGAGAGTCCGGGAGGCAGGGGCGCAGCAGTCCCAGGAGGGGGGAGGCGGGCTGGCGGAGGAGAGGAGCGGAGTCCTGAGGGGGAAGCGCGGGCGGAGGGGGCGCGTTTTCTTTTACAATTAAAAGTGGTTAAAAAAAAAAAAACGTGCGTAGGAGAGGAGGGGGAGGTGCGGGGGGAGAAGCGGCGGAGGAAGAGATGGACTTCGGAGCTGGAGCGTTGGCGGCGTGGAGGACCGGAGGGCGGAGAGGTAGCGCGGGCGGAGGGGAGGAAAGGCGGACGGGGGTGCGCGGGCGGAAGGGAGGTGCGCTGTGCGGAGAGGGGAACGCGGGCGGAGGAGGGGAGGAGACGGGAGGCGCCCTGGCGGAGGAGAGGAGCGGTGTGCGGGAGGAGGAGAGGAGCGGATCGCGGAGGGGGGAGCGCAAGCGGAGGGGGGCGGTTTTATTTTTAATTAAAAGCGGGTATTTAAAGAAAAAGAACCATGCGGAGGAGAGGGGAGAGGTGCGAGGGGAGGAGCGGCGGAGGAGGAGAGGGGCGACGCAGGTGCGGGGTGGGGGACAGGGGAAGTAGCGCGAACAGGCGGAGGGGGAGCGCGGGCGGAGTGGGGAGCAAGGGGGGAGCGCAGGCTGCGCGGGAGAGAGAGAGAAAGAGAGAGAGTGAGAGATGAGCGAAGCTCGGGCAGGGCGGGGAGCGCTGGCGGAGGAGGGAGCACTGGCGGACCGCGGGTCGAGGGTGGAGCGCTGCGCGGAGAAGAGAGAGAGAGAGAGAGAGTTCAGCGGAGCTCGGGCGGGGGGGAGCGCCGGCGGAGAGGGGGCGCAGGCACGGGCGGAG